TTCAATAACCAATTTTAATGTGAATGAACTAAAATGTGCCACTGAAGAGACATAGAGTAGCAACTGGATAAAGAAGCATGACCCAACAGTCTACTGTCTCCAGGAAATTCATCTCACTGCAAAAGACACCCACAAGTTCAAAGTTGGGGACTGAAAAATGGCCTTTCAGACAAATTGAAAACAGAAGTAGCTGAAATCAGACAAAGCAGATTTCAAACCATCCACAATTAAAAAGGACGCTACATAATGATAAAAGACTCAATCCACCAGGAAGAAATATCCATCTTAAACATATATGCACCAATACAGGAACACCAGATTTTATAAAACAACTACTACATAAACTAAGAGAGGACATTGACTCTCAAACAGCCATAGTTGGAGACCTAAATACTGTGCTAATAGCTTTAGATAGATCATCAAGGCAAAAAACCAACAAGGTGATCTCAATGCTTGATTAAATGGATTAAATGGATTTAATAAACATCTACAGAACAATTCGCCCAACATCTACAGAGTATACACTCTACTCATCGGCACATGAAACATACTCCAAGATCGATTGCATTCTCAGACATAAATCAAGCATGAACAAATTTCAAATGATCCAAATCATATTATGCATCTTCTCAGATCACAGTGAAATAAAAATAAATATTGCCACCAACAAGATCCTCCCAAAACACATACAGACATGGACACTTGACAACATGCTGCTGAACAACTTCTAGGTCAACACAGAAATCAATACAGAAACAAAAAGATTCCTAGAAACAAACAAAGACACATCTTATCAGACTCTAGGATGTCATCAAAGCAGTGTTAAGAAGAAAATTCATAGCATTGCACATACACATCAAGAAAACAGAAAGATCACAGGTAAACAACCTAATGTCACACCTAAGGGAACTGAAAAGGTAAGATCATCTAAATCCCAACTCAAGCAGAAAAATCTAGATCACCAAGATAAGATCACAGTTGCAGGATATAGAAGACAAAAATATCATAGAAAGGATCAACAAGACAAAAAGATAGTTCTTTGAAAGGATAAATCAGATTGACAGACTCCTAGGCCAGATTGGCTAAAAAAGCAACAGAAAGTCCAAAAAAACACAATTAGAAGCACAAAGGTGAAGTCACAACTGACTCTGAAGAAATTCAAAAGATCAGAGATTACTATGAACACATGTATGTAAATAAACTAGAAAACCTAAAGGAAATGGAGAACTTTCTGACATCACACAGGTTCCTAAGGATGAAATTGAAACTCTAAACAGACCAATAACAATCCAGAAAATTGACTGTCATAAGAAATCTCCTTGACAAAAAATGCCCCAGACCAGATAGCTTCTCAGCTGAATTCTACAAGACATACAAGGAAGAGTGTTTATCAATCTTATTGAAAGTATTTCAGGCAATTGAGAATGATGGAATTCTCTCCAACACATTTAATGAAGCTAACATCATACTGATACCCAAACCTGGCAAAGACCCCAAAGGAAAGAGAATTACAGGCCAATCTCCTTGAATAATATAAATACAAAAATTCTTAACAAGATCTGACAACACGTCTCAAGGATCGTCCACCATGACTAGGTGAGCATCATTCCTGGAATGCAGGATTGGTTCAATATCCAAGATAAGATCACAATTGCAGGATATAGAAGACAAAAATACCATAGAAAGGGCTATAGAAGACAAAAATACCATAGAAAGGATCAACAAGACAAAAAGATAGTTCAGCACATTAACAGTTGTAAAACCAAGAACAACATGATTATATCATTTGATGCAGAAAAAAGAATTGAACAAAATCCAGCATCCCTTCTTGATAAGAGCCCTTTAACACCTAGGAATAGAAGGAACATTCCTCAAAACAGTAAGAGTCATCTATGATAAACCCACAACCAACATTTTGCTCAGTGGGAAGAAGCTGGAAGTGTTCCCCTAAGAACAGGAACAAGACAAGAGTGCCCACTCTCACCACTCCTGTTCAACATAGTGCTGGAAATCCTAGCCAAAGCAATCAGGCTAAAGAAGTAAATTAGGGGTATCCAAATAGGAAAAGAAGAAGTTAAGCTATCTCTCTTTGTGAACGATATGATTTTATACCTTGAAAACCCTAAGGAGTCTGTCAAATGACTGATAAATGACTTTGGTAAAGTCTTGGGATACAAAATCAGATTGCAAAAGACAGCTGCATTTTCATACACCAGCAACAAACCAGTGGAGAATCAAAAACACAATCCCATTTGCAATAGCCAACCCCAAAAAATGGAATGCCTTAGCATCCACCTAACCAGAGAAGTGAAAGACCTTTAAGATGAGAACTGCAAAATGCTGCTCAAAGAAATCAAGGATGACACAAACAAATGGAAAAACATTCCATGTTCATGGATTGGAAGAAACAACACTGTCAAGATGTCCATCCTACCCAAGGCAATCTACAGATTCAATACAATGCTCATCAAATTACCAACATCATTTTTTTTCAGATGTGGAAAATACAATACAGAAATTCATATGGAAATTAAAAAGAGCACAAGTAGCCAAAACAATTCTCAGCAAAAGGAACAAAGCAGAAGGCATCACACTTCCAGACTTTAAACTTTATTACAAGGCTACAGTAACCAAAACAAGAATAAGCACATAGAAAAATGGGACAGGACAGAAATTCTGAAAGCAAAAACACAGTCTCTCAACTAACTCATCTTCGACAAAGCCACCAATAACAATCTTTGGGGAAAACAGACCATAGTTAGCAAATAGTACTCATAAAGCTGACTAACCACATGCAGAAGAATGAAACTGGACCTCTACCTATCACCGTATACAAAAATAAACTCTCAACAGATTAAAGATCTAAAAGTAAAACCTCATATAAGACTCCTACAAGAAAATGCAGGAGATACCCTTATGTACATCAAAGTAGGCAACGAATTATTGACCAAGTCCCAAAAAACAAATGCTATGAAAGCTAAGGTATACAAGTGGGACCTCATCAAACTGAAAAACTTGTACAGCAAAATAAACCATCAAGAGAGTAAAGAGACAACCTACAGAATGGGAAAAATATTTCCAAATTATGCATCTGGCAAAGATCTAACACACAGGATCTACAAGGAACTCAAACAAAGTGAAGGGAAACAAACAACCCCATTAAAAAGTGGACAAAATACATTAACAGACTACTTCTCAAAAAATGACATACAAGCAGCCAACAGACACATGAAAAAATGCTCAGTCTTGCTATTCTTCAGAGAAATGCAAATCAAAACTACAATGCAATACCACCTAACTCTGGTAAGGATGACTATCATTAATAAGTCAAAAAGCAGATTCTGCCTTATTTTTTTTCACAGGTGCAGAGAAAAGAGAACACTTCTACACTGTTGGTGGGAGTGCAAGCTAGTTCAACCTCTATGAAAAGCAGTGTGGTGACTCCTAAAAGAACTATGAACTGACCTTCTACACCATCCAGAAATACCTCTCCTAGGAATATACCCAGAGGAACATAAATTGTTCTTCAAAAAGACACCTGCGCATGCATGTTTATTGCCTCACTATTCACAATAGCAAAAACATGAAACCAACCCTACTGTCCATCTAAAGTGGACTGCGTAAAGAAATATGATACATATACACAATGCAGTATTGTGCAGCCATAAAGAAGAACAAAACCATGGACTTTGCAGCAAACTGTATGTAATTGGAGACCATCCTACTAAGTGAACTACAGAAACAAAGATCTGAATACCGCATGTTCTCACTCATAATCAGGTCTTGAGCATTAGTCACATTACCACAAGGAAAGGATCAGCAGTCACTGAACACTGCTAGGGGAGGGAGATAGGAAGAAGATGGGGGCACATGACAACACAAAGGGTACTCAGTTCATTACCAGGGGGAGTAAAGGCCAGTTAGAACCTGCATGCAGCCTACTTATGTGGTTAATCCTCACTTGTACCCCACATTCCTTTAGTAAAATAAAATTTTTTAAAAATAATAAAAGAAACAAGTCCAAGTACAAAATAAATGATTAAGAAGATTCAAAAAAAAAAATTTAAGAACATAGAGGAAAAAAAAGATGAGAAACATGTAAGAAAGACAAAGGGAGTGGGAGATGGCTCCAGAAATTTCAATGTGTTGACTAGAAGTTCCAGAAGGAAAGAAGAGGAAATGTGGATGGGAGAAAACAATAAAAGAAAAGGTAAAGAAAATTTTCCCAAGGTAAAAAAAACAGTCTTCAGATTGTAAAAACTCTGGTAAATATTGAGCAGAAGTAATTAAAACACATATCTACACCCTCGTACACACACATCTCAATGGAAAAATCAAACAAGTGGCAAATCATCGCAAAATCTACATCAGCATCACCAACAAAAACACATAGGTCTTCAGAGAAACACAAGTAATTCTGGATATGTAAACATGCATGCATGCACAAACCTAGTAAAAAATTTCAAATTATACCAACATAAAATTGGTGGCAGTCAGGGAAAGTGGAGCTTAACAAAAGCCTGCTAGGATTTGTAAAGATATTGAGAAGATGTAGATAATGACAACAATAATGACTAATTCCAGATGCCAATACTAAATTTAAAAAAAATACATGCACTATATTTATATATAAATATAAGTGCTTGGGAAAGGGTCTAGAAGGACACAAGGACATGGGAGAAAAATCGTGGGGCAGAATGAAGGGAAACTTGCACCTTAAAACTTACCAACTTCTACGTTTTAGAGTGTTTTGATCATTTGTGTATCAACATAAAGGCAAATACTATTTTTTTAAACACAGCACAGAAATTATGCTTGCTTTCAAAGTATAATAAAGCTATTTTCATGGATGGAAAGAACTGGTAAAAGTTGTGTTTATTTCTATTTATTTTAGGATTATTTTTATAAATTAAAAACTATTACTATTTGACTTTAAAGTATCATAGCTTTGTTTATTTTTCCTCTACTTTCCCACTCAACTCATTCATTCTTTATTTTAGGCCAGGAGACATAATTACTCTTCTAGAGGATTCCAATGAAGACTGGTGGAAAGTAAGTATTCTTTCTTTAAAAAAAAAATTGTATCTACAATTATAATAAATGTTACCATTTTGGAAGCATGCCTTCTTTTTTTTCCCAGGGGAAAATTCAAGACAGAATTGGCTACTTTCCAGCCAACTTTGTTCAGAGAGTACAACCAAATGAGAAGATTTTTAGATGTGTTAGAACCTTCATTGGATGTAAGGAACAGGGGCAGATAACACTGAAGGAAAATCAGGTGAGTGAATCACGCAAACACTTTCCAGATATGACCAAAATAATAATCGTCATTTCAATAAACATAGCAATATATATATAAATCTGAATGAGTGGAGTCACATTCAAATTATTCACTTTGAGCAAAGATAAAAATACTCCAACAATATTAGTGTAGTAGGAGTTAAACATGCAACACCAAAATGTTAGAAATCTTACTTGGTGGCACCTATTCACATGACGAAACATCATGGTGGCAAGATGAGGTATCTAGTCTCCATGCTTTTTTCTCTGAGAACCACTGGTCTCTGATCTGGGCAGCTATTCTCAGTTGGACTCTCTGCTGGTGTCCACCAATGTGTGGTTAATCCTTCATTTGTTCTTGGAAATACTTTGTCTTTAGTTGCTGCAGTTAGGAATCTCTTAGATTTCACTGTGTGGACTCGAAGCCTCTGCCTGTTTATTGGAGCCCATAATGCCTTCACATCACTGAATAAAGAAATGGACAAAACTTAAAAACCAGAAACTATCTCAGGCTTGTGCACTGCACATCTCTGTACATCTAACCTAGAAGTGTCTGTCACCATCTTGTTTCAGTGCCATGTTGAGTGTGGAGTTCTCTAAGATTCTAATTTCCTGCAAAGTAAGGTATGAACCCCACACCACTATGTCTTTAAGCTCTTTCCCTGTTGTCTTCTCATCTCATCTCTAGAATATTGATAAAGACAAACAAACAGGACACTCACAGCTTAACTCTCCATCCTACTCTTCCTCTGTCATCTTCCAGCTGTGAGAGGGCTTCCTGTGGCCCCTTCTTCCCTGAGTTCAGTTCCCCTCGTTTCATATCTTGTATACTCAATACAAAGTAAAATTATGTGCTCAGACCTCCAAGTTTGTTCTTGATCTATTAAGGGAGAATTTGGGGAACTAGAAATTAGAAATTTATCTTATGTTCCAATAAAGTATCACAGTGGACTTTAATTTCCAACTTTGGAATCAAAATCTTGCCTCTCTTTCCTTCTGCATTCTTAATATAATAATTCTATTTCCCAAGGCAATGAATGCCTATGGTTTAAGATGACAAGGCTTGCCCTACAAGCATGTGCAAAATGAAAAGGCATTAATAATTCTAATGCAGCTCTGTTCAGTGGTGTTGCCCAAAGCACATCTTGAATGTCTTTTTTTAGAATTACCTTCAAAGATAATTTCTAAGTCACACAAGAAAATCAGTTATTACTTTATATCTGATTTGTAGTTTCTTAAAATGGTTTACTCAACTTCATCAACCATTTCATATGTCATATGTGGCTTCAAATAAATGACTTTATCATTTTCAAACTGACAAATACATCCTTGAAGAATAACGATTCACCTTTGCTTTGTCTGTTCAAAATAATCTTTAAAGAAAAATCTAAAGAAAAATTATAATATAGAATAACAAAAAGTTCATCTCACTCTCCCGTCAGAGTCAAGTAAATAAAAGTTATTGAAGTGAGAGACCAATAATTCTGAGTGTTATTTTTCTTGTATATTTTTTAAAAAGGCTGAGCATGATGGCTGAAGCCTGTAATCCCAGCACTTTGGGAGGCTGAGGCAAGAGGATTGCCTGAGCCCAAGGGTTCAAGAACAGACTGGGAAACTTGGTGAGACCTCATCTCTACAATATATTTTAAAATTGCTGGGCATGGTCGCACGCACCTGTAGTTCTGGCTACTTGAAAGGCTGAGGTGGAAGGATCACTGGAGCCCAGCAGGTCGATGCTGGGGTGACCATGAGCTTGCCACCACAATCTAGCCTGGACAATAGTATAAGACTCTGACTCAAAAATAAATAAATAAAAATAAAAGATAAAAAGATGGGGGATAGAGTCAGTAAAATTAACATTTTCATAAATACTAGGATATATCAGTCCACTCATTTTGGATAGTTACCATACATTCAAAGCCATAAGATTGCTCAACCTCATGAACACGGTAATTCCATTTTCTACAGTGTATCCAAAGAAAATCTAAACTAGAGTTGAGAAGTAACTTTATGCAAAAAAGATAATCATCAGAGTGGTATTCATAATGGTGAGAATTAAGAACAACTGTACAATGAGAGTGATTAAGTCAACAAAAATACTTTATTTAATGGATTAAATTAAGAACCTAAGCAGTTTCAGTGGTATAATAATACTATGGGCAGAATACTGGAGTCTGAATCCAGAACCCAGGCACTGCTCTTAGAAGATAAACACACAGGGAGAGATGAAGCCATATTTTTATTCTTGGAACCACAGTGAACCAGAGTACTGTACCACACGTGTTCTAGAAACTTAAAAGACCTCCTAACCGCAGCTCACCTACCTTACCCTTACCACCATCACCACCACTACCACCTTCACCGATTGGTCTGAATCCCAGGATTCTAGGGCACCAGATGATCCATGGGAGAACAAAGGATCAGAAAGGAGTGTGGCCAAACAAAATGGCCTCATGAACTTCCAGAAGGAACAAGAGAGGAGGAAGTTTTATAAGACAGTGATAAAACCCTGGCACCTGTGAGCCTATCATATCTCCTGCCTTTGGAAAAGTGAGGAGATACCTAGGAGGTCTTCAAATATTGTGTCACCGTCTTAGGTAATGGTTTTATGACGGTTAACAAATAAGTTAAATACTAATGATACAATGATAGTGAAAAATTAATATAAATATAATGGGAAAAACAAAAAAATGGAATGTTTAAAGACTTTTTATTTTCCTTTTAAATTACTTTTTTGAGTTGGAGTCTCACTCTGTCACCCAGACTGGAGTGCAGTGGCCGCTCCCGGCCACTGCAGCCTCAACCTGCTGGGCTCCGGCGGTCCTTTCGCCTCAGCCTTCCAAGTAGCTGGAACTACAGGCACGCGCTACCATGCCCGGCTAATTTTTTGATTTATCATAGAGATGAGGTCTCGCCAAGTTGCCCAGGTGGGTCTCAAACCCGCGGGCTCAGGCAGTCCACTCACCTCAGCCTCCCAAAGCACGGGATTAAATTACTTTTATAGTATAAATTTATAAAAATTAATCTTAAAATAAGCAAAATTTAAAGTAGTCAATCTTATCTTTTGAATCTAACAATGTAAAGGTATACAGTGTTGCTGTGGCTTCTCCAGGCTTTGACTTTGCATGCATATGAGCAAATGCACACATACACACACACCACATTCCACTGTTGCAATACCTAATTGAAGCACCTGCTGCTTAGATAAATGCAATAAGCCCAAGAGGTATATTCCATCTAATGTATTTTGGTTATTAAAATATTGAAGATTCTTAGGAAATTGGGTCAGTAGGCTCTATAATTTCACCCTGGTTTCACAGTTTCACTTGAAATTGGCATTCTTCTCTTTTTAAAAAGTTGCTTACATGGTATGCCCTCCTCAGGACATGCTGCATTTTGTAAATTGTGCAGCTTCTCCTTTACCTGGTTGTTTGTGGACAATGTTTAATAAGATCAAAAGTTATCAATGTGCTGACATGAAATGCACTCACTTAAGATTACCTAATACTTCATTTTCTACCCAAAGTTTTTTGTTTTCCTTGGAGCTGGCATTCACCAATATATCACTTGATTACATACTCCCCAAAGAGGTAACAGAAGAAGCCAACATCTGAGATTCTCCTAATTGACAACACCCCTGGAAACCCACCACTCCTCATACCTGGAAGATTGCACAGACCACTCTGCCTCCTGTAAAAATATATTCCTTTTTTGGATTGTGATGACCTGTTTTGGAATCTGCTCCTTGAAAGAGAAGTTTTTATCTCTAGCCAGTCCTTGGCTGACAAAAAAGAAAAGAACAAATTAATACTGTCCTAGACATCACCACAATAATAATAGTTATAAGTATCATTATTATTAGTCATTATTCAATAATGTCATACATACAGCTTATATCATATTTATAAAGCTTATATACCTACAACATTTGATTTGAGTTTGCACACATACCCTATGAATAGTATAGATTAATTATTCATTGCTTCTATTTTATAAATGAGGAAGTAAACACTCATAGAGGTTATGTGTTTTGTTCAAGGGACAAAAACCTGGTAAGGGGTTAGGCTGGAACTTAAACACAGATCTGCAAACTCCAAATCAATGCTTTCCACTAGCCATGTGCCCTGGACAAGGTAGAACAAACTCTAAAACTTACTTGGCTCCCAAGGGAGGCAAGTGTCATAAAGGCAGTTGTCTTGGGACTAAGGAACCCCTTGAAAACAAATTCTTGCTCAAGTGGGCTCCCTACTGAATCCCTACTTGATTCCAGGCAATGGAATTATTGTCATCAGACTGAAACTCCGTTCTAATGCCATACACACCCAACAAAGCAAACAGGCACTATTCCCAACTTGATGTCATACCAACGCTTCAACTTTCTCTAAGTTTAACCAAATGTGTCCTTCTGTTCCAAAAACTTGGGAAAGTCTTTCGAATAAAATTAATTTTGGAAGGATGCTCATCTTTACTGGCAAAATGTTATTAAATAATCTTGCTAGCATATTTTTTTCTCAGAATAATTTTGTGCTTCCCCATTTGAGATCAAACATTGTTTTATGTTATTAAAATACAAATCAGTGAAACCAGAAGGCAAATTAAAATTTTCTCGTTGATCAATTTCCAGAAGCAGAACATCTGTTCAGTGACTCCAATTCCTTGGCGTATTCCCCAATTTTTTTTTCTGGAATGGGTCTCATATTTGTAATCTCCACCTTCATGGTTAAATTGACAATCTGCTGTGGGTGGGATGTGAAGAAAGTGAGACAAGAAACACAGTCTCTTCAACTAGACATTTTCAAGATACAACTTAGCATTTCAGCTTGAACTAGAACCAAATAGATCTGCCCATAATTATTTAGAAAAATGCTATACACCCCAATATTTGTCCTGTCTGGTGCTTTCTGAGGTCTGCTCTTTATACCTCAGAATATTGGGCATCAAAATATTTGTTGAAAATACAGATTCCTAGGCCTAACCCCAGACCTGCTAAATCAAAAT